TCTAACTTTGTCTGTCGGAACTGGAGCTCCAGTTCTACCTCTTTCCTAAGTTCTACGTTGAAAATTCAGTTTCAGGGACAGCTGAATAGGTCACGCGCCATAAAAGCACATATAAAGGGTGAAGAAAGAAGAAATACAAAGAAAACATGACAAACAGATGTGTGCAGGCGAGGCCATAACTACACAGAGAATATTCATAACTTCATAGATCTTGGAGATCACAAAGAGTCAATGCGTCAGCGCCCCTCCCCACCATTGAGAACGATTTTCAGCCATATCATCGTCATTCGCAGCAGTGTAGAGCCATTGATTCTTAGAGTCTTGAGGATCCCAGTCAGACAACCTAAACCTTTCCATTATATTACTTAAACCAACAGTGAAAGACTTCATGGATTGACTACTACTCCTAACTCTTTTTCAACCTATTGCTATTTGAGCTAGCCACCACTCAATGATGTGAGTAATGGTTTAGCATGCCTAGCCCAGATATCCTACCCATCTGAAACTATACTTGTAGAAATTTAGTGATGATAGGGCTAAGAATCGATACTACTGATACATATGTATCCAAATCATTATTGTTCATTCTAATTATACTATTGTAACAACAGAAGACAAGGGCCAGGCAACAGATCGTTTATTAAGGAAATCAACGCATATTTATATATTTTCACGTACATTACTATGGATATTTAAGCAAACAAACACAGTCTTCCGATTGGTTGTTTCTCACGTAAAGTTAGTCTTTCATCTATTTGTGACTGTTTCTTGAATGTCAAATCATCTATATGTTAACTTTATCCGCTTACGCAAAGTCTGCTGTAGTCGGTTTTGAATCAGTCTTTGTTCATATTTTCTCACGACAAATCTTGAGAACGTAAACATTGACGTAAATTACTGTCTACCAATTTGGCTAGTAGACAGCTCTCACCACACTATCACATTTTTCTTTCTTAAATTCTTGCTATATTTCCCCTCCTTTTATTTTTCACATAATCTAATTGTATCATTTTCATTTCTTTGGCGTTCACATATGAGACAGTGAAATGGTATTGACTACTATACAAGTAATCACAAGTCATGTGTTAATAATGTCTGTCTGGCTCTTTGTCTGTCTATCTGCCTTCAATCCTACTTACTCTTTAGAATGTTGAACCTTTTGTATCCACAAATGGTTATGATTTTGTAGGTAATTGAAACCGGGATAGATTTCTATTTATTGATGTACTTCAGTGTGGATGTCGTCATGAGCCAGTATCAATTAGAGAATCATTGAAAACCAGGAAGTATTGAATAGCTGTTTCGTCCTAGCTTTGGAACTCTTCAGCAATGCACACTCATGACCCCACCCTTCACTTACCAGGAATCGAACCTAGGACCTTCAGGTTACACAGTTAGCCTATTAGCCATTCACCCACTGGGCAAGACTTCAATAACTCATGAATTCTAACTTCAGTTGATTGGCAATATAGAGCTACCGCTGACCAATTCCATCGATAACCATTTAATTCACCCTTATATAGTGGACCCTAATGGTAAAAACTCTTCATACGAACTTCAGGATATCCTACCAGTAGCCTCTAATGAACTGGAAAGTAGATTCGTGGTGGGATCATGCTGAAAAGTCCCAATGTGTAACGAAACAGTTGTCCAGCGCTCTATGATTTTCCAATAATTCTCTAACTCATATTAGTTCTTGAAAAAGTCTATATTGATATAATTTTGGTATATGGAGTGAATTGTGATTTATCACTAGTTGTTTCAACCAGCTGAATAGTGAGTGGTTAGTTATCCTGATAAAATTCTCCGCATATCAGACTGGTTCACACATTGTATAAGAGTTGAAGTAGGTGGAAATTGTTTCTAACTTTAGACCCACATCATTAAATAAGACATATGTCCATGGAACATGTCCATGATGAATATAACTAGTTCATATAAATCTCCACAATGATTCATTAATTCATAGGTCATTGAATTGGGTCTCAGTGACTGAATGGTATACAAACTTCCCTTGTAACCGGAAGGTCCCAGTTTCGATACCCATTGGGTGTGTACTGACGATGAGTCCCAAACTAGGACGAAACAGCTGTGCAGTCCTTCCTGGTTTTCCATGGTTCTCTAACTGATATCAAACCGTGGTCTAACCCGAAACATATATATATAGATTGTATGCAGCTGACAAGACACCAACTAAATAAACGGTGGATTCGTTTTATCTTGTACCCGGTGTAATTATTATTATTATTGTTTCCTTTAATTCCTAGAGGAACAAAGGGCTTCAGCCGTGCGTCTCGACTGTGTTCGGTTCTCTGCTCGAGTCTTTACCTGGCTCCAAGTCTGTCCATACGTTTTCATCTCCTCTTCACATGACCTCCTCCAAGTCACCCTCACCCTTGCAATTACGACCAACTCGCCACTTCCTTTTCGGGTTCCACTCGAGCAATGGCTTGTGTAGTGATGTCACTTGATGGTTTGTTTCCTCAGAGTATGACCAGCCAATCCATCTTCATTTCTTCCTGCCTATTTGTTTCACAATCGGTTCCTGCTGAGTTGGTTCGCTCATTGCCAGACATCTCTGTTGCTGATCTTTTCTGGCCGGCTGGCCATCTGATCTAGAGTATTGAGCGAAGACAACTGTTAATGAAGGTCTGTAGTTTGTTTGGTGTGCTCTTTATGACGCGCAGTGCAAGTATCTGATCCGTATATTAGCAGTGACTGACTTCACATTGGAGTTGAAAATCCGGATGTTATTTTTGATGTTGAGTGCTGTTGACCTCCACACAGACTTGAGAGTAGTGAAAGCTTGTCTTGCTTTCCCGATGATCCTCGCTTTGATATCCTCATCAGTTCCGTCCACCTGTATTTGAAACGATGCTTCCCAGGTAGGTGAAAGAGGTTGTTTCTTTCAGGTTTCTCCCATTTATGCTGATCGTTGTCTGTTGTTGTTGTTCTTGTCCCGGAATCTTCATTACCTCTGTTTTCTCAATGTTCAACTGAAGGCCTATCTTTGATGCTTCTTCTGCCAACTTGTTGCTTTTCACTTACATATCCTCCAGTTTGTGGGAAATCAAACAAATATCATCGGCGAAGTCCAGATCCTCCAAGTATTTGTGTGAGTCCATTTTATGCCTGTTTCCTCATTGCCCGCCACTGTCTGTCGCATTATCCAATCTACTGCAATCAGGAAAATCATTGGCGATAGTAGGCAGCCAGCTTGTCTTACTCCTGTCCTCACTTTGAAGGATTCCGTAAGTTTCCTGTTGTGGATTACTTGGCATGGATTTGTGTCAAATATATGCTCTTCAACGAAACATTTGTTTTACTGGCTGGCAACCATGGATTCTGAGTACACCAATCAATACAAATATTATCACTCATTAGGCACTACATTTCTTTTCTTCCTTAATTTCATGTCTGCTTTCATGAAGTATGGCAATTTAAACTATTTCATTTTTGTGCTATGTTCAAATTCTGTTCAGTTCACATTCAACAAAATAAGTCGGCAAGAAATGCTTTCAATCTTTTTGCATTCATTACTGCTGAATAATGATTTTCACTAAACTGAAAACCTAAATTGTTCACTAGTTTCTTTTTGATTTCTATATTTTTTCATCTTTTAATTTCAGGTAGTCTACAAGCGTAGAAATAATTTTAATGATTTTTAGGCATAGTTTCTTATTTTTAAATTCGTAGCTTTAACTCACAGGAGAGTGTTTCGATACGGTTCATCGGGGGGTAGGGTAAAGCTGGGGGTCATTGGTTTAGGCGCTCGACTTTTTTGAACTAGCGTTCTCCACCTACTAAGATTTGCTCAACCAGATAGTACCACTAGTCCTCACACACACACAATAGATGTAGCGACTCATTCCCAACTTCATGGAATTCCAAGTGGTTATTGAGCGAAATCGGTGTAAACACTAAGAATCCAGCCAATGTGTCCCAGGCTCGAATCCTGTCGCAACTATATCAGTCTGAAGACAACTGAGTATTAGCATCAGATTTCATACATTTAGTTTTATTCATAACTTGGTACATGGAAAACCTGTTCCAGGTGGCAAGGACTACAATTCCTTCTTACATTCTCCTGTTTGCGAATATACCCCTTTTTTTTTTGATGAAGCGACTTATAGTTGTTTCCTCTATAAATCCCTTATGAGAACGATACAGCCAATAGTCATAAAGTTGTTTTTGTAATCTTAAGGCATAGAGCTTAAATGTTTGGAGTCCCAGTAATTCTGTTTTACATAGTGATGTGTAAAGGTGTAGCCGATTGGCTTTTTTTCCTTCACGTTCCCCAGTGAAACATAGGGCTTCAAGCTACAGGCTTGAAGTTTCTGTAGCAGTGTTTATTTTACAGGATGGGGTTGCTAGCCTAATGCCCAACCTTTCCTCTTCACCAGCATTATTTCTGGCTTAGCGAGGTAAAGGAGTGCGTTGTGGCCGGGGATCGAACCCCAGACCAGGTGCATGGTCGGCGAGCCGATTGGCTTAAACACTCGAATTCCAGACAGTAGATTCTGGGTTCGAAACTCACTACCTGCTTCAGCTTTGGCAGCAGGATAATAATATCATTAGTCCTTACAAAAATAGCACATAGCTCATAACCTGCTACCAGGTGGTGATTGACTTCTTTCTAACTAACGGGGTAGGGATTGTTGAACTCACGTCCAGTCTCCCCTCTATTTTCCAGGCTTATTACCGGCTAGTACACTACTCAGGGTTTAGGAATCTAACCTGGGCTACTGGTGTGGCTGGCAAGCATTATACCATTGAAAGGTCTGACACATACACACACACACACATTAGAACCACAAAAGCTTACTCTAATTTTTCTTGTTTTTGTGAAAGTTTTTCAGCTAAACCGAAGATTGATTCTTTCAAAACAAAAGTGATTAATTTTACGACTATATGGTATTATTGTGTTCATCCCCTTTTTGCCCTTTTTGTCAACTAATTAACCATATATTTTGTTTTTGTATTCCCCTTTATTATTTTAGTATACTGTACATGAAACAAGAATCGGTTCAACACAATCAAATATGAGTGAAAATAATGGAATAGCACACTACAGTAGTCGATCGGCTGTCATGAATACACAATCACAGATTCCACAGTCTCAATTTCGGTAAGTTAAGATTGAAATATATATATATATATATATTGGCGTCGGTGGCTTAGTGACCAACTACACAAGTGGTCGGGAGTTCGATCCCCAGTCGACGCATACCTTTACCTCGCTTAGCTAGTAATAAGCCCGGGCCAAGTAACTAGCCGAAAATTTGATGGCTTCAACTGACTCGGCTGTCTGAGCTGAGTCGAACCGGGTACACGGTTGATGAGCTTAGCCTCAAATAAGCGAAACGGCCATCGTGTGTTTAGACCACCTTGATCTCGCAAGCGAGCACTGTGGTGAGAGATGGTTGCTAGCCAAATTGGTTGACAGTAATTGAGGTCAAAGGTCAAAATGGACAGGCGGGTACAGTTAACATATAGATGAACTGACACAGCCACAAGAGATGCAAGGTTAACTTTGTGTGAGAAACAACCAATCAACAGACTGTATTTTCTACTAACATTAACATACAATAATGTACATCAAAATCTATAAATACGTGTTGATTTTCCGTAATAAACGTTCTGTTGCCTGGCCCTTGTCTTCTGTTGTTACAGCACTACTGATTGAGATGAGTGGTCTAGTGGATAACACTTTGGAATTCGGGACTATCCATGCCTGTAAAACTGGTGTGTCCTACATGGATAGGGATATATATATATATACATTGGATACTGGGTTCGAGAGCCTCAGTGGGAACAGCATCACTCAGTGGGGAATGTAGGTACACCCAGATGACGAGTCCTAAGTAGGATGAAATGCACATCCTGGTGGATTCTACTACTAGTCACCATCCACCAATTTATTCCTGGATATTTTGAAAATTAAGACAGGCAGAAGTAGAAGTACATAAAGCTAATTAAGATATGACTATAAACACTAAATTGTGCTCGAAACACCATCCAGTACCATTAATACTGTATCATCATCCACTGTGTTTAGTTATCTATCGAATATTGTAATTATGTTATACCATTCCACCAATAAGTGGTATTTAACTTTGTTTTCTATGTGAAGATCAATATATTGTTCCCTTTTGTATGAATAGTATTCAGTCTTTTTTTAAAAAAAATTTTCATTGTCGTCAGCGTGTATTGCTTATCTCTTGTTTTAGTTAAGTAAAGATTTTAGGCGTCAGTTAGATTTTTTTTAAATTATGTGTTTTGATGTTAGGCAGTTTTATGGTAGGTATATAGTGTGTTTGGCACCTACAAATGACATCGAGATAGATTGGTGGTGGTATGTTGTTTTTCAGCTTGTTTTGTTATATTTTGAACTATTTTTTCGTTTGCAAAGAAAATTAGTTTAGGTAAAGTGCTAAGCGGCACACTACTTGCGATTTCATGCAGTTTAGAATGAGTCGCCGTATCTATTGTGTTTGTGTGTGTGAGGTCTGGTGACGCTACTAATTGATTGCATTTCAATATAGAAATATGCACAGAAGTGCTACAATTCAAGTCGCCACACTCTATTTACCACACAAAGATACAGAAAAAAGACATCCGAAAGAAAGATAATGAGCAGAAAAGTGCGGGAGACAAAATAGTCATATGGAAGAACATGAGGGTATGATCGATACAGGAGATCCCAAAGAGTGAATGCATCTTCACCATTGAGAACGATTTTCAGCCATATCACCAATAGTTTCCAACTATTGGTTCTTAGAATTGCATACAGTCTAAACCTCCCTACATGACTGGCTCAAAGCAACTGTCAAAGACTTCATGGATTGGCACTGGGTTTTAATTTAATTTAATCACCGCTAACTCTTTTCCAACCCAACCTTATGTCAGCCATTACTGCTTGTCCAGGAAGGCGATGGCTCGGCATACACAACGTGTGTCTTAGCCATCTTAATAGGTCTAGCTTCATAACCTCATCAATTGACGCCACTTACTTATCTAGCACTCTGTGCCTAACTTCAACATTACTCGTCATATTATAACACGGGAGATAAAATACTTATTTTTAACGAAAAATGGCTTCTTCATATCTTTCGCTTCCAGTAATCATGTCTCACACTCATAAAGGAAGACAGTGGGGGAACTGCTGTGCAGTATGCAAGTCCTTTGATCGTAAGTCAGAGATGATGTAAGTTGGCAAGTTCCACACAGACCTTTTGTATCCGTGCTGTGATTACGTCAGCAATTCAGTTGTCTAAATCTCGGTAGTTGCGTTGGGGTTCGAACCCTTAACTCATTGACTGGGTAGTCGACAATTATTGATAGTTATTACACAAATCACTTAAAATACAATGAAATAAACATTTGAACAATATAAGGACCAACAAATATTTTTATGGTAAAATGAGTTAATAATAATAATTATTATTTCATGGCTTTTCTTCAGCTGCTCTAACAGATTAAAAGTTAAATAAACCCTTATAAATAAATATAAATAAACCTTTACCTCGCTAAGCCAGAAATAATGCTGGTTAGGAGAAAAGGTTGGGCATGAGGCTAGCAACCCCATCCTGTAAAAATAAACACTGCTACAGAAACTTCAAGCTACTAGTTTGAAGCCTTATGTTCCACTGGGGAACGTGAAGGAAAAAAAATGTATATCATCAAGTGATATCACACGCCAGTCTCCCTCGACTGGAACCCAAGTGGTAATCGATGAGTTAGGCGTCGGTCTGAAGGTGACATGAAGACGATGACATATGGCGAGAAAGTGAAATCTTGTGGGCAGTCGTCAAAGCCATGTGGAAGTGGTGGTGTGGCGTGTGCTACTGATAAGATTTATTAGTAGTATATATAGGAACGTTCATCGGTATAGAAATATCAAATAGAGGAGAGATAGATTTGACGTCAAAGAGAGCAAATGAACCAGCATTGTGACAAAACACGGGAGACACGAAAAGAAGACAAAGAAAGACAATACGAAGGGCAGAAGTAGCACAACACAGAAGATCATATAAGGTGTACATAATTTCGCTATATAGGGAGATACGAAATTCCAAATAAACATTCCTTTACCAAGAGTCTCTTGTCTTCTACCGTTACAATAGCAGAGTACTGAGTGGTACTCAGATATGCCACTGAAGCCTTACTTTTCACTTGGAAGGCAAGGAATTGATAATATTAATAATAAATGTAAATACATAACACACTGAAATTATTTCGAGTCGAAAGATATTCAATAATTCATCGCCCAGTAATGGAACAAAGGGTATGAATACAAGATAGTTGATAATCAAACATCCAGCCTTTACTTATGCATACTATGATGAAAGTCCTAGAGTTAAGAGAAGAGGGATGGAAAAGATATAGTAAGTAAGTATAAAATTATTGCATAAACAAACTATTGGAGGCTTAATAATAGGTTCAGCTCAGCGAGCGAAAATCAAAATTAGGTAAAGATTGTAACGCGACAAACAAATCTCTCACTAATCTGGTAACTAGACTTGCTTCTGATTTCATCAGAACTTCAGGTCATCCACGAGGTAGTTCCTAATGGTCTGGAGGTTTATGTTTAAATTATAGGTTTTGTAAGACTCGCGAGTGTACATTGCTGAAGGGTTTCGAACTGGGACAAAACAGCTATGCAGTAAGTACTCCGTGTTTCTTGATGATTCTCTAACTGATGTTGGTCTCTGTTGAAAATCTACACTGTAATTTATTCACATCCCTAAACAATCCATGATTTCAAATAATGTTTTTGGTTTGAGTCCGGAACATTCGTTTCATCCTGTCTCAGAGTCTTCACTTGGAGGATGTTCATACATTTCCAGTGGGTGATGGTTTTGACATTAAGACTGGAATCGACCCATCAACCGAATAACATCATATTACCTTGCAGATTTTATCAGAGCATCGGTAGGTACTATAAGTCGTTGGCATATCAACGGAGGTTTAATGAAAATCAACTAATGGGAACTCCAAAGAGTAGTAAACATTGCATAGCATTGATTTTTCGAGATGTCTAAAGTGTTCCTTCCCGTCTCGCCTCCCTCCTTTAAGCAGAGAAAGGAAACAGGCAAGGGTTGTTAATATAATGTCATATCGGACAGCTGTAAACTTAGTTTGACATCTGATTATGGACAGTAAATAGTGTCCGTAGAGTTATCCAGTACAAATATAATTTTAAAAATTGTGATATTTCACCATAATATAATAATTAACATATTCATTGTATAATTCTACCATGTCAAAGTACTTAAGTCTTATTGCTGTTGGGAGTGCTGTCAGTTCTTACTGTTTCCAGTAATTAGAACATCAGTTTGTACACGTGTGTGTAGTGGTGTGTGTGTGTGTGTGTGTGCGAGTGGGTGCGACTAGTTGTTCGATGCCGTTTACTTTTGTAAAACAAGTTTGTACATGTTGTACATATAAATGAAACTGACAGAAAAGAAAGACATATATATATATATATTGATTTTATTTTTTTGAAAATTTCTTACAGTGTGAGTAGTTTGTGTTTCTACACAGCTTCCTGATGTTTTCAAAACGTGTTTTCTTTATCAAGTGTTGATTTGCAGGGATTTGATTGGTTACAGGATTTCATCATGAGCTGACATCAGTTAGACAACTGTCGGAAAACCTGGGAATGCTGATGCTCACCGTTGATTGGCCCTATAGAGGAAGCTACCTGGGGGGGATTCTAGTGGGAAGTCGTAACCAGCGCGGTCCATCAAGTCAGTCAAGAGGACAGTTACTCGCCTATGACATTGGCTGTCGGTTGCGCTATGTATCGCGAATTGGCAGAAGTTTGGATTGATGGCGCCATGGATTGTCATGGCTGAATTGTCAACCAGCTTGCCTTGTAACCTGAAGGCCCTGAGTTCGATCCATCTTTGTGGGGTCATGGGTGCGTGCTGATGAAGTGTCCAAAATAAGGACGAAACAACTGTCCAGTACTTCCTGCTAGTTTTCAACGGAAGTGAGTTCGTGATCAATCTTGGAGTCAATCAAATCCTTGCAAACCAACGCTTGAAAACTTATAATATAACTGTCGTGGATTTACGGGTTTTCTCGCTCGGCTAAACGACTTGATACGGCCGAGAGTGAGTA